TGGCGTAAAATTTCTTCATCCGTCATTAGCGAACAAACAGCAACATTGTCGTCTATTTCAATGAACTCTTGTACATCTTCGTCAGATAAAGATGGTACGAGAGCTTGTCCCAATTGTTGAAGTAAAACGTCATTCGATTCATTAAAATCATCCCTTTCATCAGGATACTGCACAAAACCAGCATGTTTGAAACAGTTAGCAATAGTCCTTTGAATAACATTTTTCCAAGCTTCTGATACCATCAAAATAGCATCGAGCAATGTGAGAGCTTTTTGCTCATTTTTTTCGAAACTTTGGAGTAAATGCACAACAAGCAATTTCCTGTAATGTGTCTTGAGAGATTTAATAACTCCTTGGTCCATCGGCTGTAAGACGGAAGTTACGTTTGGTGGTAAAAACACGAGTTTTATAAATTTTAAATTATCAACTTTGCAGTGTGCGGGACAGTTGTCGACTATCAAAAGAATTTTTCTTTGGTAGACTTTTAGTTCAGCGTCCCAAGAGCGTAGCCACTTTTCAAAAATTTTAGACGTCATCCAAGATTTAGTATTATTCTTGTAGACTACAGGTAAAGAATTAACGTTTTTAAAACATCTCGGCTTTATTGATATTCCAATCACCAATAACTTTTTTTTGCTCGAGCCTGTCATGTTCGCAGCCACCATCACTGGTATTCTTGTCTTTGCCAACTTCCCACCAGTACATTTTTCACCTTTGAACTTTAGTGTTCTATCCGGAGTCATACTATAAAACAATCCTAACTCGTCTGCGTTGAAGATATCTTCCGGTTTGTAACCTTCACATAAAACAGGCCACTTTTGTGATAACCACTCTTCTTTTGTTCCACTTGGCACATCAGCCGCTTCACCACTAATTTTACCACTGACAATGTTATGACGATGCCTAAATCGTTGTATCCACGATGAAGAACAATTAAAAGTTTGTTTTCCGAGCTGTCGTGCAAAATCATTGGCTTTCTCCTGCAAAATAGGACCACTAATTGGCACGTTATTTGATCGCTGGTGCTTAAAACACGTTAATAATGCTTGGTCTATGTCTTCATGTCCAGTTGTCCTAGCGTGTTTGTTTAATATTGACATTATTTTTTTCAAACAGAGATTTGATTTTGTCTCTATTTTTCCAAATTGTAGAGATTGTTGAATGTGAAACATTGCATTCTTTTGCAATATTACTATTTTTTTCACCGTTTTCTAGGCGCCAAATTCTGTGAGATTTTTCATTTATGTCGAAGACTTTCCGTTTTCTTTTTGACATTGTCAAAGAATTATTTTGCCAAAAAGCGAAAGTGTAAGAATTATTATGCCAAAGAACGAAAGTGTTTTCTACAACTTGTAAGACCATTAACTAAAATGAAAATTGTGATCCTCATTGTTAATTTAAAGCTGCAAAAGAATTTGATGACATCATAAGTATATTTACTGCAAAATGAATGAAAGTATTTGTCAGACGCTATAACCGATGCATTTTGCTATAAGTTTACTACTATGAGTACTGTGAATTCAGTTGCTACAAACGATTTGTCGCTATAAGCAATGTTGTTATAAGCAGTTTTCGGCTTGAGTGTTTTATATGTAATAGAGACGGGAGTTGAAAATTTCGTCGTAGTAACCGGCAGGTCGCTTTAAGCGAAGTCGCTGTAAACGGTTTTGACTGTATATGACATTATTAGTTCAAGAATAAACAAGAACTTGAAACAAGAAGTAAATTTTGAAGAAAAAGATTTTCTTGAGTCAAGATGACTTTTTTTTCTGTGTATATATGTAAACTTTTTAAATGTCAATTATACGTTAAGTTTATGGATACTTTAATTTAAAGTAAATATGTTGAATGTGCTTGATTTATTTTCATTGTACACGGAAAAAATTGTACATATATATATATATATATATAATATATATATATATATATAATGACGATGGTCTTTGTTTGAGGCTCAATCACGTCTAAACCACTAATCGTATCGATATGAAACTACAACCATTCAATGAAAAATTTGTTTTTTCATTTTTTTATCGCTACTACTTTTATGAACATTTGTTCCGCTTATAAAAACAAAAGACAAGCATTTTCTCTTGATTCTTTTGTTTTCATGGATTCCAACGGAATATATTAGACGAATTATGTTCTTTTACATTTAGCTAAGAATCTACTTACACATTCTCACGCACCCACACGTTCACTCCCACCTACCCACTCGATGGATCATCGAAGGATTATCAACTATATAGCCACTCATCACGAAATCTCGGGAACCATAGGACTTAAAAACGTGAAACTAGGTAGAAATATTACTTTTGTTATGTAGAGGTAAGCTAAGAACGTATTTAAATCAATTTTTTCCCCAAAGGGTACTGCGGGGGCGATAAAAAATCAAAAATTCCCGTTTTTAAACTACAGCTCCTGTAGACTCCAAATTTAGCTAGAGGATTGCGGGGATGGGTGTTAGAATATTTAATTGCCATTCCCAAACTGTAACCTCTACAGACTCGAAATTTGGTAGGAATCTTTTTTTTATAATGTAGAAATCATCTCGAATACGATCTTACGAAATTCCTCCCCCACATAGTAGTGCGGGGGTGTTAATTCTGCAGAACCATAAGGGCGTATAAAAAAATTTTTTTTTGCTCTAATCTATGTAGAAATGTTGGAAACACTAACATCTATGGAAAAAACGAAAAAAAAATTTTTCTTTGATATACGCCCTTATGGTTTTAGAAAAAATTTTCCTAAAACCATAAGGGCGTATCCTGCTTTTTCGGTTTATTATCAATTATAGGTAAGAGTAAGCAAAAAAATTACGAAGCTTTATGAAAATTATCACTCCAACTTTAATTTGTATAAACAAGTATATATTTAAGTAAAAAACCAAATTTATTTTTTAAATTTTGATCGAATCATAAGTTTGTTATAATTTTTTTGATTCAATTTTAAAAAAAGCACTTTTAAATTTTTAAATTTTTCAAAGATGCATTTTTTATTTTTCAATCAAGGTTTCATTTTCTGTTTTTTTTTTTTTTCTATTTAAAAAATTAATTGCTCTTTGATTCACAAATATTAACGGTATCTTTTTTTTTAAATAACTACACGGAGCGCCACCTACAACTTTATTTTGAATTTTAAGATGGCTGCCTGATTTATTTTATTGTAATTTAAGTGTGAATTAAGAAAAATATTTCGGTGAATTTAATATTGTGTACGACAAAAATGAAACCTCAAGACTTCCGTAAAATTATTTGGAGCTCGATTATAATTCCCGAGACTGATGATGAAAACGAGAGTGGCGATGTCGATGATGAATTGAGTCGTCAAGCATCTTCTTTGAGCTTGAGTCATTCAAGTCAAAAGATCAGTGACCTAACATCATTTCCATCATATGATTCCATTCGAATAGATAGTGTATCATCAGTGAAAGATGTTATTCAGCCCAGCCTCAAACGTGGAAGAAAAATAACTAATTGCCAACAAAACTGTGAGCTTTTGATCGATGAAGCTGAAAGGAAGATCATTTTTGATGAATTTTGGATGTTGGGTGACATTAATTGACAACGGAAGCTGCTCAGTAAGTTAGTGACTACTGAGTTAGTGACTACTGAAATTATTGATAACAACACTCGGCGCAAGTAATAATTATTTTTTCATTATTTTAATTTAATCCATAATCGTTTGTCTTAAATTATCTTTCAGTAAGTAGTTATTCTATTGAATTGTTTTGTTTAGAAATAAAATAACGTATTAATTTAAATTGAGAAATAATTTTATTCAAGTATGTAAAGTGATTTTGTAAAAACACTAAACATAAGTGAAAAAAAAATTAGAGTGATGTTGAAAAAGAACAGAGGAGTGTAATTGGATCTATATCGCCTGATCTTTAGGGTCATCACGAACCTGGCACCAAACTAACTCCAGATGATATCGCCAACATCAAAAATCATCTAGCATTACTACCGAAAGTTCCAGCTCACTGGTGTCGGAAAAACACTTCTAAAATCTTTTTAGAAGGTTTTCAAACGAAGGAACAAGTTTATAAATTATACACGGAGTATGCTATTGAAAATGGATGTAGGCTAATTAGTGATGTTACTTATTATCAGCAATTAGAAAATTCAAATATTGGATTTCACCAGCCCCGCAAAGATCAATGCTGTTGTGCCAATTTTTTTAAATTATCTGATTCTGAAAAAGAAGAAAAACAAGCTGAGTATGACATCCATGTCAGACGCAAGGATGCAGCTCGAGCTGAAAAAATCGTGGACACGAAATTAGCAGAAACTAGTGAAACTGTCATGACTGCTGTTTTTGATATGGAAGCAATTTTATATTCTCCATCAATCAGAAGTAAAGATTTATTTTACAGAAGAAAATTAGCGACACATTATTTCACTATTTTTGATGTTGGCAAAAAAGAAGGTAATTTTTAAAAGTAAATATTTTTTTTTATTGTTAATGTGAATTAAATTCCTTATTTTTTTCTTTCTCAGGATATTGTTACATATGGCCAGAAATTTAATAAAATAATAATAATATTGATTCCATTGCTATAAGATGGAACATCAATAAATAAATATCGTTAAAAAAATTTTTGTAATTTCAGATGTAAATGGCCAATTTGTCCTTTTAAGTTTTCAGTCGATAAACACTTTTATTTTCTTGCTCTGTCGATAAAAAAATTGTTTCCCAATAGATGGAGCTCAGAGCTTTAGAGCTATGTTTTAAGTATTGTTATTATGATAAACATACTGAATCAAAAATTTTTGTCCTTACCATTTTTATTTTAACAAAGTCAGAGTTATTTGCAGTTATTATTATCTATTCCATAATATTAATTAAAAAAATTATTTGAGCTTAATTTCAAGTTGACGTTAAGGTTATGTCGTTATTTCTCTACCAAAAAAAAGTTTTAAAATTTCAACATAAACACAGTATCAATTTGACAATAACGAAACTTCAAGAAAAGTGGTCCGAAGTTGGTATTCCAACGTATGGTGAGCAATTTGGGCGAAAAAAACTCAAATTTATTAGATGAAGTCAAAAAGGTACAGAAGAATTATAAGCGCAAAAAATCAATAGCACAAAAGAAGAAAGAATCAAATTTTTCTCAAAAATTAAAAAATTTATTTGATATCGCCAAACTGAACGTCAATAAATACATTGATGAAGAGAAAAAGTTATTCTTGGCCGGGCAAAGATCAAAAAATCGATTCGGATTTATTGATAATAATACTTTAACACAACAAGAAGATCAAAATCAAGATATAATGGTTGTAGATTCGGCTGGTAAGTTTATATTACAATTTATACTTACATTGATAGAAGGATTTCTTAGTATTTGAGAAGATTTCGTTGTATTTAATAAATCATTTCTTAAACATCATTTCTTTGTATTTGAAAAATATTTCTTAGTATTTAAGAATTATTTCTTAAATACTAAGAAATATAAATACTAAGAAATATTTTTTAAATGCTAAGAAAAAATGTTAAAAAAATAATTTTTGAATGCTAAGAAATCCTATCAGTATACTTTCTCAATCAACTATAACTATCTGTTTTATATAAACAACTTTTGCTTTTTAGATGTAGATGAACCTGCTGATCATATGATGCTCGTTACCCAAAAATCCGCAGTATTACTATCTGGTTTATCAGCAACAACATCTAGTCAGACATCAAATGTTGTATCTGACTTTGAAAATCAACTAAGTCAACAGTGTCAACCAAAACAAAATTGATGTGATGACACCCGAATTATGTGTAGCACTAGATCGAGCAAAAGTAACAAATAGAAATGCTACTTTTATTATAGCTGCTACTTTTAAGATTGTAGGAATCGATCTTTCTACTCTTAATTTAAGCTACGGTACAATTTATCGAGCGCACATCAAACATAGATCAAACATTGCGCAAGATTTGAAAAAAGAATTCCGTTTTGAAGATCGTTATGTTGTCCACTGGGACGGTAAAATTTTGCCCGATATAGCTGTTTCACAGTCTGTTGACCGTTTAGCAGTTCTACTTTCTGTCTCTGGAGTTGATCAGCTTCTTGGAGTCCCTAAAGCTGATAGTGGAACTGCTTATCAACAAGCTTTAGCTGTTATTTCGACGTTGAATCAATGGAACATTGCTCCTTACGTAAAAGCAATGTGTTTTGAAACGGGGATCCACCACTCTCTTCGTTGCCTCTTAATTTATTTAAGGCGCCACTGGATTTTTCCCACAGTATCCAGAAACTGGCCCAGAACAAGGAGTGAAGACTCAGGGTCGGAGAGATTTTCAGGAAAGAAATAGAAATTATAATCAGAAATTCATTTTTACACCTCATTTTATTTAACCAACCCTTAATACTTATTAAATTCCCTTACAAAATATCAAATCAACTTAACCCTCCTGCTGGACGAACGCTTTATTGGCGTTCTACCAGGTTCCAATCTTTTCACCGTCGCCAACGTCCTTTGCTTTATGCCTCGAAGAAAACGATCACGACGATCCGGTAAATCAATACACCGTCTCTTGGCTCAGCCGTTGCATTTATCGTTACCGACAATCAACGAACCGTGAGTGGAAGTCGTGCGGGCTACGAAACCGGTATTACACATAATCGATGACGAGATATTTATTGAACCGCGGGTAAGAGTAGTAACAACCACCGAGGAAGACTCGCCCAAATCACCGCCGTACCAGGGTTCACAGGGTTAGTCGATCTTCACCGGCAACAACCGCCCGGCTTATTGGACGGACATCACCAGGGCCTGGAAGTTGGTCCCAGTCGAGTTTCCAGAGGTTCACCCTCCAGGAGGTGTCATCCCGATCGAAGACCCCTGATACGAGTATTATTCCGAGGAGTACTTCCAAAAGACGGGCTACGACATCTACCCGCCCTTCGAAGCTAAGTGGTTAAAAAACCAGGGGGTTATTTGGGCTGACTTATGGGGCCCATAATAGTAAGTTCAAAATAATTAAAATAAAACAAGTAAGCTCATCTGTGACGACACACCGGGAGTCTATCGACCACCCAAAGTGTCAAAACCTGGAATTAAAATTATTTTAATCTCAAAGAATTTATTTAACGTATTTTTGGGAACGTAACAACACCCAAATAAAACTTTTAAGCTTGTTTGAAAAAAAAAAATTTTTTTTTGGATCACCCTAATATATATATACACAAGAGTACTTCGACTTTTAACAAAGCAAGGCGCTCTAGCACTTTTGGATTTTTTTTGTGTTCATCTCTTAACGGTACCCAAAATTCGTTTGTTTTCTTTTGGATTGCTTGCATTGACAAGGACTCTTTATAACATTTAATAAAAGCTTTGTACAGCCGATCACACAACGACATTTTTGTGTCAGTACCAACTCTTGTCGAGTTATATTCGAATATAGGTCGAAAAAATACGAGATTTCTCTCAGTAAAATCGACTACGTGACAAAAACCTGAGCCTCCCCCCCGCTCCTGTGACTGACCGTAGTATTTCAAAGACTCCGCTCCCCCCCCCCCCCCAAACGGGTCACGTAGTA